CTCCCCAAACCTCCAGTCTGTTCCGTCAACTTCTCTCGTCGCGTGCCTGCCTTGATCGAATAGCTTCCCGCCGTCCCAGAAATTCTTGGTGTTCCAACCACAACCTTGTTTCCGGCGACCAACAATGTGACTTTCGTCGCGTGGGCGGAAGTTGCCTCGCTGCCCGGCGAGCCATTCGACTTGCCGACACAACTGTCTCCGACGGCTCCGCCACCTGGGACACCGTAAACCGCTCCTCTGACCTACGCCATAGTGTGGTCCATCGCCAACCACTATCTTACGCGTTCGGCGATCCGCTGCCCGGATTGTGGGCGGAGGCAACCGACCTCAGATGTCCTCGTCCGGCTCAGTACGTAACTGCCCCCGGCTACGGCCTGTCTTGAGTACCCTTGATTTAATATGGACTGTAGGCCGTTCTCCCCTGGGAATGCCAGGACAAAGAGTACCAGGCCAAAACAATTTACGAATCCCCCTTCCGGCGAGCCAACCAGGCACTGTCCGAAGAGAACCTAAGACTCAAGCGCATTCTGAGATACAATGGCATCTCGTGGTCTCCGGTTGCGCAAGCCCACCTCAAGCAAATGGGACCAACCATGCGCCGGAGTCGACAGCGCAAGGCAAATGGCCCCGGCTGCCCACATCTTCCACCGAAGGTCATCCTACGCATCCTTAGATTCGCTCTAACAGGCGCACAGCCCATCATTGATCCCCTCAGCCCCACCACGTCCGAACATCTGACCGAGCAGGAGAAGGCGAGGGGCAACCAGATCGCCATCCACTTTCTCGCCACCTGCCGAGCACTGTACGCGGAAGGTACTCGCTACCTCTGGAAACGCAACGAGTTCACGTTCACCACTCCTCAAGCCCTCCGCCACTTCGCGGAATTGAGCCTCAACTTTCGTCACAAAATAACCAGCATCAGCCTTCGCATCGTGGCTCACTACTTCGACGACCAGCGACGCAAACACAAATTGGAACGGGATTACCACGAAGATCTCAAAGGAGACGTGAACCTCAGGGTCCAAATGAGACCCCAGGAGACACCTATCGTGCGTGGCGGATTCCGGTGCTACACTTGGACTCAGATTGTCGACTTCCTCGCCGCTCTCCGCGCCCCGTATGACCCAGCTTACCGGGACAAGTACTACCCACGGCCCAGACTGCTCCCTGCCCTAACAACTTTGCGGATGGACCTCGTCAATTTTTCGAACATACTGCTTCCTTTGTCTGGGTCCGAGCTTCATGATATTGCGTGCCATGAGCTTGGATGTACGCTCAACGAGCTACAAATTACGGGGATGCCGCTGAACAATGCCGGCACGAAGGCGTGCGCCGAGCTCAGTGGCCTGCTCAAGGACGAGGGACTCTACCTTGAGGGTCCAGCCTCGTTCATTGCCTACTCAAAATCCCTGCAACCGTTATCCGGTCACGATTGGTATGAGGCACTGGTCGTCCGGGCATGGAAAGGAAAGCCCGTGGGATTGGACTATAACGAGGATGTCGATGACCATCTTGCAAACTCCATTGCCAAGCACAAGAGACTGGGAACTACTCCCCCGGCGCCGCAAGAAGACGGCCACCCGACCTCTACGTGGGATGAGAACACAGTCATATGGAAGAAGGTACCCACAACCCGCGATAGCGACAAGCGTACATGGGCCCTGTTCTCGCGCCTTAAAGGATACGAAATCGACTGCCTTGATGACAGTGACGGCGAAAAGGTCGGCTCCTACGACGGAGAGTCGTACCCAGAGTCGTGCTTCTCGAGGACATGATGGCAGATTATGTCGACTATGTACATGAAGTCAACAAGGCACTTGAATGCATTGATGTTCCATGTGGGTGCTCTAAGACCGATAGCGAGCAATAGTCAGAGATTCCCGGATGTCCGCATTTGGTGAGGACGAGACGCCATAATTAGAGCTTGAGTGTGTTATAATGGATGACCAGTGGTATTGGATTGCCGAGCCCTACGTGAAGAAATCTGTCCCGTGCGTCGTCCCTGGCTTGCGACAATGCGCAGTAGAATGTGAAACGGCATTCAGGAAGATTGCATTGTCGCAGAAATTAACTTACCCGTGGAAGGTCCAGAAAATAGCATGAAATGTCCGCAGTGTGACATAACAAGGCAGAACAATGGCACGAAGCAATTGTTTAGTAGTAGAATCGCACGGGCAAATGTGCATCTGCATCGGGCTGCAGTGCCGCCTAAGGGCGCATCGCGGCGTTGTTAGTTGCTGTCCCCAACAGCGCCTCTTGCCTCCGTTTCAGCATGCGGGTCGCGTTGGTCAACCGTTCCGCTGCTCCCTTTCTGTTGCCCAACGAACACGCTTCAGTGCTATAACATGAACCCGTCCGACGAGCATCCTGGTGTGCAGAGACATGTTTTCGGGGAGTCACGTGACACAGCCTGGAACATTGAACTCTGATTTGAACTTTGACTCCAGTGGTCGCCGCTCACAGATGAGATGAGTGCAGACCGCCGCAACGAATCCTGTCCACCAGGATACTGAAGTAGGACTTCAAAGGCCGAATTCGGTGCTATTGAATTGGTGCAGCGCGGCTAGCAAGTTCGGGCTCTTCGTCCGAGTCCAGCATCGACGTGCCGCAGCGTACAGCACGTCGGCGTGTAGATGTAGTTGCTTCACAAGTCGAATGCAAGGTTGCGGCAAGCTCTCACTGGGTAGCCTTTGTATGTCATCGTCGCTCGGGGGTTCAATCGTGACCGGCCGTCCACGATCTTGGTGGCAAGCTCGTGGGGGTATCTGGAGACTGCGGATGGTGCTTTCCCTAGCTAATTACGAACCGTCAGTGAGGCTTTGGCTAAATGCCATACGTTGAAAGTCATGGCGAATGGCAATCTTAACACTTCAATCAGCAGCTTGGTCGGTATTCTGCGTGCAATATTGCGCCGGGCTTTAAAGAATCGATGAAGGGCAAATTCGGACAGCGCTTTGTTCAGAATGTGACGGTATCGGACAGATCGCAATGTCTTGATGCAGGACGATACGAACAACGAGTGTTGGTGGTAGATGCTCTCGTGACTGGCCAATTACTTACTGTTCAACGCTGCTTCTTCGCAGACTGAGAGCGAGGTACAGCTGTGAGCGGAACCGCCGTCCTCCTGCACACACTCTTTTTGCAACACTCGACCCACTTTTGCCGGTGTCGGTGATGGCCGAGCTCCTAGAATACTACAGAAAAGAGAGTAAGGGGGAGGAAACCAGTTTCGCTCATAGCTGTACAGTGGAGGTGCGCGACGGGAGAAGATGAGAGAACAGACTGGACATAGAGGGTCTGGGGCGTCGGTCCTAGACCCTTCCGCCGCCGTTTCTACTCCATTCTCATATGAGGTGGTTTCGGCTTCTCCGCACACTGCTGCAGGCTTCAACGATGGAAGAGTAGACGGCCAAGTTGCGGATTGACTCCCGCCGACTCCAGGACCTCCCCCAGAAGAGCCATTGTCGGCGCTCAGACGAGGCTGTCAGCGTTGCAGGCAACGTCAACATGGATGTCCGGTGCGATGGTGTGGAGAATCGCGGGGTGAAGGTTGATGGTGTGAAGCCAAGAAGCTGGTGGTGGGCTGAATGACAGGGGACACGGATCCTTGTCTGTACCCCTGTACCACCCTAGCCTTACCCCTTGTCCTGGGCAATGTGCAACAAATCGCGTCCAGAAACGGCTACAGTCCTTCTTCGCCTCCTCCCGCACGTCTTGCGAGCTGCACACCACACATCCTGCGAACTTCAACCACTCATCCTGCGGCCGCTTTGGCTTCACACCACTCGTCCTGCAAGCCTGCATGCTTCACACCACACATCCTGCGAGCTTCACACCACACATCCTGCAAGCCTACATGCTTCACACCACACGTCCTGCGAGCTTCACACCACACGTCCCGCAAGCCTGCATGTTTCACACCACTCGTCCTGCAAGCCAACTTTGCTTCATATCGCACGTCCTGCAAGCCTTCTTTCAAGTGTGTCGCCAGG